CAAAGTTTATCAATGAACTTTAGGTGTTAGTTTAACTTGTCATGCTGTTAAAGGCACAGTGTGTAAGATGTGTTCATTAAAATTTTCAGAACCCACTAGAACAGTGATATATATTGAAAAAAGTTATCGTATGATCTATAAACTAAATCACATTGGATCTGAGAACTGACCATTGATGCTTGTCATTTTGTAGTGAAGTAGTGTATGTAGAACAAAGTGGTGAAGTAGTCTGCAAAATCATCAAGTTTGAGTCTTTGTAAACTTGTAATTTACAGAAGTTCGTGGAGAAATTGCTTTTAAAGCCCTTCCGGCAATCTTGCCAACATCGCCATACCGCACAAATGGGAAAGTGGTTCGTCCAACATATGCTGAAGTGAAGAGCAGCTTCATTGACGTTCAGCCAGTAAGTAAAAACACCACCACAAAATCAGCATGAGTAAATGACACCAAACATGCAAATTTGTTCTTTCTGTATTTCCATCCCAATGGACAACATTTAAATAGTGCATAAAACATTTGCAAATAAAACATTCCATTCCGTCTGTTAAAGAGTATAACATTGAGAAAAAAATAAGAGTTTCCACAAGTGAGAAAAACACTAATACTAAATGAATTAACTTTGGTAACAAAAGCTGTCTGGTGGTCATTCATTTGGAGGCGGGGCCTAATGTTTGAAGATACAGTTGTGTTGGGCAGTTCTGGAAGAAAATTATAGGGGCCTTGCACTCTGGTATTAAAGAGTTAAACATTTAAGATGAAGTGATTGGCATTGGTGCCCTGGTAAGACCAGTGATTTAATCATAATACACATATACACTCACCGATTACTTTATTAGGTACACTTTACTAGTACCGGGTTGGTGCCGCTTTCAGAACTGTCTAATCCAGGGGTGCTCAATCCTGTTCCTGGAGATCTACCTTCCTGCAGATTTCAGTTGCTACCCATATCAAACACACCTGCCTGTAATTATCAAGTGGTGTTCAGGTCCTAATTAATTGGTTCAGGTGTGTTTGATATGGGTAGCAACTGAAATCTGCAGGAGGGTAGATCTCCAGGAACAGGACTGAGCACCCCTGGTCTAATCCTATGTGGCATAGATTCAATAAGGTACTGGAAATATTCCTTAGAGATTTTGGTCCATATTGACATGACAGCATCATACAGTTGCTGTAGTTTTGTCAGCTGCACATCCATGATGTGAATCTCCTGTTCCACCAAACCCCATACTGTAGGTGCTCTATTGGATTGAAATCTGGTGACTGTGGAGGCCATTTGAGTTCAGTTGTCTCATTGTCATGTTCATGAAACCAGTCTGAGATGATTCACACTTTATGACATTCACACGTGTTATACTGCTGGAAGTAACTATGAGAAGATGGTACACTGTGGTCATATAGGGATGGACATGGTCAGCAACAATACTCAGGCTGTGGTCTTGACACAATGCTGAATTGATATTAATGGGCCAAAAGTGTGCCAAGAAAATATCCCGCACACCATTACACGACCACTACCACCAGCTTGAGCTGTTTATACAAGGCAGGATTGATCCATGCTTTCATGTTGTTGACGCCAAATTACCCTACCATTTAAATGTCACAGCAGAAATCCAGACCAGACAAAGTTTTTCCAATCTTCTATCGTCCAATTTTAGTGAGCCTGTTCTAATTGTAGGGTTAGTTTCCTGTTCTTAGCTGACAGGAGTGGCACCCGATGTGGTTTTATGCTGCTGTAGCCCATCCGCCCCAAGGTTGGACGTGTTGTGTGTTCAGAGATGTTCTTCTGCATACCTCAGTTGTAATGAGTGGTTTTAGTTACTGTTGCCTTTCTATCAGCTGGAACCAGTCAGACCATTCTCCTCTGACCTCTGGCATTAACAAGGCATTTGCACCCACAGAACTGCCGCTCACTGGATACCTTCTTTTTTTCGGACCATTCTCTGTAAACCCTAGGCGAGGTTGTGCGTGAAAATCCCAGTATATCAGGATTTTCTGAAATACTCAGACCTGCCCTTCTGGCACCAACAACAATGCCACGTTCAGAGTCACTTAAGTCATCTTTCTTCCCCAAGATCATCTGGACCATGCCTAAATGCATTTTAGTTTGCTGCCATGTGATTGGCTGATTAGAAATTTGCGTTTAAGAGCAGTTTGACAGGTGTACCTAATAAAGTGGCCGTGTGTGTATATTTTATCCATGCAGCATTTATCACAATGTAAATTAAATAACTTCGAATGTATTCTTTCAAGGTTGGAACTTACATGGTTCAGTACCTGAACAGTGCGATGAACCAGGATCCACCACACATACTTGTGCTTGGGGACAAAGAACACTCTTCCCAAGTGTACGTCGTTTTCAGCAAGCAGGCAGTGGAACAGGAATCATTACTGCAAGCTGTGGATTCATGTTTTAAACTTTTTCACGTCTATGACATGAACTATCCCAAGCCCTCTGCCCCCATTTGGGAGTTTTTGCAGCACGCAGTCTTTAATATTCCCGGAGGCGTTCCTTCAGCACACTGCAGCCTCCTAAAAAACTTTGTATTTCGCATTACTGATCAACAGTAGCTTTATGTAATTTTGCTTGCTTATGTTCTTAATTTTGTGTTATAATTTGTATACTGCATTAAACCAATCAGTATGTTTAAAAAAGGGTTTTGAATTGTGTATTGTACACAGCTTGACTATTTAATGTGCACTTTTTAAGTTCATTTTCAGTAAATGCTTCAAGTATTGTTTGATTTAGAAAGAAAATACTTGTTTATAACATTTTTTACACTCAAATATGTAATAAAATGATCAAAAAATAAAATGGATTGCTTTTTAGTGAAGTTTTTTAATTAATTTCAAGAGGAGCTCTTGATATGATTGATCACAGCTGGTCTCTCATTCGTAATCAGCAATAATGTGACGGCAGCCATATTTTCTGTTTCTCAATATGCGTTCTTCAGTGGTCTTGCAACCTCGTGTTCTCGTGTAATGTCATCATCAGCTGCCCAAGTTCAGTTCAAATACTCAAGACCGCAAGTACGGAGGACACGTGAAACTTCCCGGATGTGATCTTGATATCGAGGACGCACTGATGCAGATTTGAGCACCGAACTTGCTCTAGAAGTCCCAGAAGTCATTGCGACTGGAGGTGGGAAGCGCAGCATTTTATTTAGATTTATTATTAAAGTTCAGAGATATGTCTTATTTGCCTCAGGAGTTTCCCTAAATGAAACGGTAAAAGTAAACATCACCATGAACATCTTAATAAAGGAATAAACACATTAAGGGTGTTTGTTTGCTGAAAATCGTATTAAAATCTGTTTTATTTATATTGTGCAACATAGATTTATAATGTTTTAATGCAAAGTATATATTTTGAAAAGGGGAAAAACAATAAATGGTTGTATGAATGCTGTAATGTTTAAATAATTTACCACCTAAAACGTGTGAAGGTCATGTGACCATCAGGAAGAATGCAGCATCTCGATTCTCAAAGGGCGCATTCTCTGCCCTCGCGGTCTCCTGAGTTCGTTCTTCCGAGGACACCTGGCAAGACCGGTCTCCACAAGAACACAAGTCCGTTCTCTGCGTTCTTGGAATTGAGAAACAGCCTATGTCAGACCACACACCACGCACCAGCTGATTGGTGGAGAGGAGACAGAGTGAAGAAGCCAATCATGATATGGGGAGGGTTAGGAGGCCATGATGGACAGGCCAGTGGGCAAATTTGGCCAGGATGCCAAGTTATACCACTACTATTTTTTTGAAGGACATCCTGGGATTTTTAACAACCACAGAGAGTCAGGACCTCGGTTTAACTTCTAATCCGAAAGACAGTGCTCACTGAGTAGTATAGAGTCCCCTTCACTATACTGGGGCATAAGAACCCACACAGACCACAGGTTGAGCGCACCTTGTTGGTCTCACCACTCCCATCCAGGCAGTCAACGAGCGCAGTCCTGCTTAGCTTCAGTGGGCAACCTTGTAAAAGTTACAGCTAGCTGCTGTGACGAATCCCCTCTTCCACCCCATCTCCTCCTTTTCCTTATTTACCAGGGGGAGCTTTCGAGACCTACCTGATCTTGAAACGCCTAATTGAGCATCAATTGGGCTCAATTATCTCCAAGCTCAGGGTTCTCTCCCAGGATTAGTTATGGGTCGTTCATGAACGATTTGTTCATTTTGAACGAATCCTAAATATGACTCGGGAACTACGAGTCCTCTCAGGGAGTGATTCGTTCATCCGCGTGTGCGCACATTTGTGCAGGTAGTATCCTTAATTTCAAGTCTTCATCACACTGGCAGAAGCCAATCATATGCGTTTAGAGCCGGAAAAAGAATGATCCGCTCAACTTTCGAGTCCTCTATCGGGTCTGAGTCACTCGTTCATCACGAGCCAATCATATGCGTTTAGAGCCGGAAAAAGAATTGATCCGCTCACCTCTCGAGTCCTCTATCGGGTCTGAGTCACTCGTTCCTCACGGGCCAATCATACGTGTTTAGAACCGGAAAAAGTTTTAATCCGTTCATCTCTCGATTACTCTATTGGGTCTGAGTCACTCGTTCCTTAGGGGCCAATCATACGCGTTTAGAGCCAGAAAAAGAATTGAACCGTTCAACTCTCGAGTCCTCGGGTTTGAGTCATTCTGTCACGTGATGAACGAACCATCATGGCTCCTATCGGCTTAGACTGTGCATTGATTAAGATTATATGTGACTGTCAGTGTAACGTGAATGAACCCCTGACATTTGAAGACATGAATCAACCTTTTGGGTTAGTTGTAGATGTGTTTGGAAGCAATTCGTAACATTTTAATAATATTTTGGCAAATTGAACCAAATGAACGAAATGACTCGAAAAAAGATTTGTTCATCTTGATGAACGAGACTCAAAGATCCGGGTCAATAAAATGATCCGAACTTCCCATCACTAGGATAGCATGCCAAACAGCGTCAAGAGTGTGAACTCTTAAAATAACATGAAAAATTGAAAGATTAATAACTCTATTGTAAGTAACAATAATAACTTGTAAGTCTCACTTTTTTATTTATTTTTTGAGCAATTTAATACTAAAGCATTAAATCCTTCTTGTGCTGTGTAAGTTGGACCGAGTGGTAAACTATAACTAAACTATAGGTCAACAATGCATACTTCTTCCTTTACATTATTTTTCCCCGTCCCCATCTTCTTTTGTATTCAAAACAGCAACCCAAAAAGTTTTTCAGCATTTAGATTTTTTTGTGTGAAATACCCATGTGTACTCAAGTTCTGCTCGTTTCTTCTGCATTGCTTTGTAAATCATGAGTAGCCAATGGGTGTGGTGTTTACCTGGAGGTCAGCTACGTAATCATTCACTGCTCTTTATAATCTGTGTAAGTTTATCGTTCAGTGCTGTGGAAGTGTGTCTGCAGGTCTGCAATCATCAAACTTCAATCTAAAGTATCTCAACCCGGAGTTTAGAAGAGACCAAACTGACAACTTGATAAGCTGAGGTAATTTTTTAAAAAGTAATTAAACAATTTAGCTTTCTAATGCTTTTTTTTTTTTAAACTGTGAATGATTTTGCAACATTTTACATTCTCAGTGTCTTCAAAATGGGGATTAGTATGTAAAAATATAACTTCAAGTAACAACGGCAATTTCACTCTGATATAAAGGTAAAGCTGTCACTGGAGCAGCACCTGTGGTACACTTTTAGTCATGAATATGTCCTTGAGGTACACAAATGTACCTCTTCACCCTTCGATGCACTACATGGGTCTAAATTGACCCGTCTAAGGTTATTTTTTCTATATCTATTTTAAAGCTTGTGCATTAAAGGGTTAAAAACTTTCTGTCCAAGTGGCAGCTGTTTTGTCTTTATTTCTGACAGAGATATGAAATTTCAGCAGAATAGGCAGTAGTGTTAAAAAATATTGTGTTGAAGAACATACTTTGCCTTTACATCAGTTATGATTGGTTTTATTAAAATGGTTTGAGTAACTATGATATTAAAAAGCTTTCCCAGTACTGGGTTGTGCCTGGAAGGGCATCCGCTGCGTAAAAACATTTGCTGGAATAGTTGGCAGTTCATTCCACTCTGGCGACCTCTGAAATAGAGGCTAAGCCCAAGGATTAATATAAAAAGTTTGTATAACTTTTGCTAGTATGGGCTCATGATCGCCTGTGTGAAATTGGGTGAAGATCAGACAAACAATCTAGGATAGGTGCAGGGGTTTAGCCATAATTTAAAATGTGGGAGGATATACAGTACCTGTACCTTTTTTTCAGGTAAAAGCCAAGTTTTTTTTATTACTTGTGTGCTTATGATAACAAACAGGGAAAAGGGAGAAACAAAATGGACTTTCTGTATGTTGCACATTGCACTTTACAATCTCAGGGAAAAAAATGCAGAATCTTTCACCTTTAGGAAAAGGTTTAAATTTGGCCACAGTGTGCTTAATTATTTAGGTTTTTACATTTTAAATATGTCAAAGACGTTTTCAAAATGACAATTATTATTATAAAGTGTTATTGTAGAATTTCTCTATGAATATGCAACATATATTAAAGTGTTTAAAACTATTGACATAAGTACTTCCCTCAGGGTTTCGGTATAGGGTCTCTTTGGCATGGACCAACAGATTTAAATTTTCATTGGTTCCTTGTGCGACTGATTTGCTAAACGTTGCTGATGTGATGTAAATCTAGTATGGTGGAAAATAAATTGCTCCAAAAGGGAACAATAAAGTTTACAGTAACACTTTAACTGATTAAATTTATTATTTTTATGTATTTAAATATAAAAATAATAATAATAATAATAAATATATATAAATATATATATATATATATATATATATATATATATATATATAAAATAATTATATATATAATTAAAGTTTATAAGTGTTCTATTATTGTTTTGTTAATCTACAGACATGTCAAAGCATGAACTGTGTTTATTTGCTTTATCAGAGGTTGTAGTAAATTTATTGCCATTAAAAGCATAGGTGGCGGCTCGGTGGTTCAGTTGTTAGCACTGCCGCCTTAAAGCAAGAAGGTCCTTGCTTCGAGTCTTGGCTGGGCCAGTTGGGCAAGTTTGCATTATCTCCCCGTGTTGGCGTGGGTTTCCTCCACGGTCCAAAGACATAAACTGTAGGTGAATTAGGTTAACAACCTTCACCTGTTGAACAAGTCTTAGGCATCAATAAGGCATTTTCGCCAATTGAAGGGCAGCTGATTGAATATTTCTCCTTTAAAGACCACTCTCTGTATGCGCTAAAAATGGTTGTGTGTGTAAAAAAACCCAGTAGATCAGCAGTTTCCAAAATACTCCATAATACAGATCATGCCAAAATGGTTGTCAAAATGACTTTGACATCCTTAAGCATGCTTGCGCACTTAAATGGAGGGTTACAGTAGGTTAGGTTCAACTACTGTATATCCATCCCAAAACTTGGCTGCTTTAAAATATGGAAAGAAAGTTTTCTAAATATACAGCAAAAAATATTCTCCAAAAACTTACGTCAGTACATAAAAACAGGGCTAAAACCCAAACACCCAAAATGGCTGAAGTGAACATTAGTGCTGAATCCGAAATCACCCAAATACATAATAGTGTGAAAATTATAAAGCACTATTTAAGGTTACAGTGGTAATATGGGATACAGCCTGGGTTTCATTACTCTAGATGCCACAAAGACTAACTAGACCTAGTCCAAGTCTAATGATTTGGCTAAACCAAATTTTTATTTGATTACATTTTCATTTATTAATTTTCCTTCAGCTCAGTGCCTTATTTATTAAGGGCCGCCTCAGCGGAATGAACCACCGACTGTTCCAGCATATGTTTTACGCAGCAGAAGCCCTTCCAGCTGCAACCCATTACTGGGAAACATCCATACACTCACATTCTCTCACACACACACACACATTATTACACTTCGGCAAATTTACATAATCTGATTTATTTATACCACATGTCTTTGGACTGTGGGGGAAACCTTAGCACCCGGAGGAAACGCGCCAACACGGGGAGAACATGCAAACTCCACACAGAAATGCCAACTGACCCAGCCCGTGCTCGAACCAGGGACCTTCATGCTGTGAGGCGACAGTGCTAACCACTGAGCCACCGTTGATTTTAGATTTTCATTTTTTGTTTCCATAGTTACTGATTTAGTTCCACCTGTCTCTTTTTTAGTTGCTTGTACTCTTTTGTTCGTAGGCCTGGTGATTTATTCCACTGTTTTTCTTTTACAGCCTGCATCATGGATCTTAACGGAGAGACCGTGGCTAGAGCAGAACTACTCAAATGTAGGTCAACACACTCTATTTCTTCATCAGACACCATTTCAGCCTAAACCAATCTCGAATGTGACCCTTAATCGCAAAAACATTTTAAGTCTCAGTGATATATGTCAGAATGGCCATAAAATACATTGTATGGGACAAAACTGTAGATGTTATCTTTTATGCTCAAATTGATTACAATAATAAGTAAAAATAATTTTCCATGAATTTTACATTTTCTACTGTAAATATAAAAATATATTTTTTATTAGGAAAATGCACAGCTTAGAGTTTGTTAGAGAGTTTGAGGCAATTGTCATAATATTTAAACATGCATATACAGTTGAAACCAGAAGTTTACATACACTCTAAAAAAGCAACATAACCATTTAAGAAACATGTCTGATGGTAAATCTTACTAAAGGATAACCATTTTAGGTCTGTTAGGATTACCTAAATTATTTACATTTGCTAAATGCCAGAATAATGAGAGAATTCTTTTATTTATTTCTAGACAGTCAAAAGTTTACATATATTTCCTTGGTATTTTTTTTTTTAGCTTTGCTTTTAAACTGTATAGCTTTGGTCAAATGTTTTGGCGTCCCTTCACAAGCTTCTCACAATAGTTTGGACGAATTTTGGCCCATTCCTCCCGACAGAATTGGTGAAACTGACTCAGATTTGTTGGCTGTCTTGCTTTTTCTCTCTGCCCACAAATTTTCTATAGGATTGAAGTCAGGGCTTTGTGATGGCCACTCCAAAACATTCTTTAAAGCACATTTTAACTAATGTGGCAGTATGCTTAGGGTCATGGTCCATTTGAAAGACCCATTTATGGCCAAGTTTTAATTTCCTGGCTGATGTCTTGAGATGTTGCTTCAGTATTTCTACATAATGTTCTTTCTTCATAATGCCATCTATACTGTGAAGTGGACAAGTCCCTCCTGCAGCAAAACAGCCCCACATTATGCTGCTGCCCCCATAGTTGGATTGGTGTTCCTAGGCTTGTAAGCTTTCCCCTTTGTCCTCAAAATGTAACACTGGTCATTATGGACAAACAGTTCAATCGTAGTTCCATCAGACCACTGGACATGTCTCCAAAAATTTGTCTTTTTCCCAGTGTAATTTAACTAATTGTAATCTGGCTTTTTTTGTTAATTCTGGCTTGTAGATTTTCCCATGTTGTCACACAAGGAAGCAGTGTGTTTGAGTTTTTTTCCTTAAATACTATTCTACAGTTGTGCCTCCAATTAACTCAAATGTTGTCAATTAGCCAATCAGAAGCTTCCAAAACCTCGACACCATCATCTGAGCTTTTTTAGAGGCAAAATAATCTAATATGTAAACTTGACTTTTAAGACAATTTCTCAAAAAATATCTCTCTAATTAGTCTGTTATTAAACATGACAGAAACAAATTTGATAATTCTAATTTACCTAAAAGAGAAAAAGTTTAGTCACATTAACATCTGAGTTTTTTTAAATGATTATGTGCCTTATCTACAGTTTATGTATGTGAACTTCTGCTTTCAACTGTGTGTGTGTGTGTGTGTGTGTGTGTGTATATATATATCCAGCCATTTGCTAAAATAATTTAAGTTGCTCAAAAACATCACATGGTCCTATTCAGACCCTTGGCTCAGTATTTAGTAGAAGCATTATTTTGATCTAATCTAATACAGCCTGTTTGGAAAAGATGCACCAAGTTTTGCACTGGGGATTTGGGTATCCTCCACCATTCCTCCCTGCAGATACTCTCCAGTTCTGTCAGGTTGGATGGTAAACGTAGGTGGACAGCCATTTTTAGGTCTCTCCAGAGATGCTCAATTGGGTTTATGTCAGGGCTCTGGCTGGGCCATTCAAGAAGAGTCAGAGTTGTTGTGAAGCCACTCCTTCGTTATTTTATCTGTGTGCTGAGGGTCATTATCTTGTTGGAAGGAAAACCTTCAGCCCAGTCTAAGGTCCTAGGCACTCTTCATCCAGGATATCTCAGTACTTGGCTGAATTTATCTTTCCCTCGATTGCAACACGTCGTCCTGTCCCTGCAGCTGAAAAACACCCCCACAACATGATGCTGCCACCACCATGCTGCACCGTTGAGACCGTATTGGACAGTAGATGTGCGGTGCCTGGTTTTTCTCCACACCAACCGCTTGGAATGAAGGCAAAAAAGTTCTCATCAGATCAGAGAAGCTTATTTCTCACCATCCTGGAGTCCTTCAGGTGTTTTTTTTTTAGCAAACTCTATGTGGGCTTTAATGTGTAGGGTCACTCTGCAACAACTGGTGGAGGGCTTCAGTTATGCTAGACTTTCTATTGCTTTCTCCCATCTCCCAACTGCATCTCTGGAGCTTAGCGTTAGCGATCTTTGGGTTCTCCTTTACCTCTCTCACCAAGGCTCTTCTCCCCCGAAAGCTCTGTTTGGCCAGATGGCCAGCTTTAAGAAGGGTTCTGGTCCTTCCAAACGTCTTCCATTCTGTGTTTTTCTGTCAGTATAGGGTGCTGTGTGTACATTAATGCAGGAAAAAATGAACTTAAATTATTTTAGCAAATGGCTGCAATATAACAAAGTGTGAAAAATACTGAATACTTTCCGACCCACTGTACATTTTACCCTCAGATTTTTAAATAGCTGTATCTCTGCCAAGCATTGTCCTATTATAACAAGCCATACCTCAATGGACAGCTTATTTAATCAAGTGATGTATACAGTAAATCTTAATTTCCAAAAAATGCTTGTGGTTCAGGGTCACAAATATTGTGCTTTCATTAATGCTGTCTTTTCTTAAGCGCAGATGCCTGTGATCTCACTCTTGATCCCAACACGGCAAACGATAATTTAATTCTTCTAGACGACAATAAAAAGTTGGAGTGTGCTTCAGAGCCAATGTCTTATCCCGATCACCCAGACAGATTTACCGGCCTCCCGCAGGTTCTGTGTAAGGAGCGTCTGTCTGGACGCTGCTACTGGGAGGCCGAGTGGAAGGGGCAGGGTGACATAGTGGTGTGCTATGAAGGAATCGGCAGGAAAGGAGAAAGTTCTGACTGTCGATTTGGAGCCAATGACAAATCCTGGATCATGAGCTGCTTTATTGGAGAGAAACTGATTGCCTGGCATAATTGTATAGAAGGGTTAATTCCTCTCCCAACAACTCCCCATAACAGAATTGGGGTGTTTCTGGATGAGCCGGCTGGCGTTTTGTCCTTCTTCAGCATCCCTGATGAAAACACACTCAATCACTTGTACACATTCAACACTGCATTCACTCAACCCCTCTGTGCCGGATTTGTGCTTTATACTGAGTCAGTGACTCTGTGTTATCTTAAGTAAAAGAGTCAAAACGATTGTTCTTTCTTTCACCCCCACACAAGCCTCTTAATATTTTAAGCACACATGAAACACACAATGAAATTAAACAACTATAAAAATATCACACTGTGAAACCCACAATATTAAGATGCTCAAACCATTTAAGGAAACCGTTTGCAACAAACCCTTTAAGTTCAAAATCTAATGCTAATGTGTACTGTGAACTTAATCCATTTGTGTAAACGAAGCAATTAGTACTGTGAACTTACTGTTAATTGAAATAATGAGGTATTTAATTAAATCATTAGCTTCAACACTGAGTTCAAAACTTGTTTCAAATGAGAAGAATTAACTTTTTGAGTTAACCGCACTCATTTCATTTGATAAAGTTGACTGTTGGGTTTTAGTGTACATAAGATATAAGAATAAATAAATTGACACACTAACACCTCACATAATTACATGCATATACAGTTGAAGTCAGAATTATTAGCCACTGAATTATTAGACCGCTTGTTTATTTTTTTCCTAATTTCTGTTTAACAGAGAGATTTTTTAACACATTTCTAAGCATAATAGTTTTAATAACTCATTTCTAATAACTGATTTATTTTATCTTTGCCATGATGACAGTAAATAATACTTGACTAGATATTTTTCAAGACACTTCTATACAGCGTAAAGCACAGGTGTCAAACTCAGTTCCAAAAGGCCCGCAGCTCTGCACAGTTTAGTTCCAACCCTAATTAAATACACCTGATCAAACTAATTGAGTCCTTCAGGCTTGTTTGAAACCTACAGGTAAGTGTGTTGGAGCAGAGTTGGAACTAAACTGTGCAGGGCTTCTGCCCTCCAGGAATTGCGTTTGACACCCCTGGCTTAAAGTGACATTTAAAGGCTTAACTAGGTTAATTCGTTTAACTAGGCAGGTTAGGGTAATTAGGCAAGTTATTGTATAATGATGGTTTGTTCTGTAGACTATCGAAAGAAAATATAGCTTAAAGGGGCTAATAATTTTGTCTCTAAAATAGTGTTAAAAAAATTAAAAACGGCTTTTATTCTAGCCGAAATGAAACAAATAAGACTTTCTTTAGAAGAAAAAATATTATTAGACATACTGTGAAAATTTCATTGCTCTGTTAAACATCATTTCGGAAATATTTAAAAAAAGAAAAAAAAATTCAAAGGGGGGCTAATAATTCTGACTTCAACTGTATATTTAATTTCAGTTTGTGCTTTTTGTTATGTACTTGCTTTCATGTTTATTGTTTGAACCAGCCCTGTGTACTTTTTGTCTGTTGAAAAGCAATACAAAAAATAAATGAATTGAGAACATAATTGTAATAATTGCACTGTAAAACCTGATTTATCCTTTGAATTGAGTGTTTGCTGTACTCCACTGCACATATGTTTTATGTAGCGATTAACCTCATATTTAATTGAAAGGTTTCTTTTTGTGGTGCTAACATCTGAACACCGCTGCATCTCACGCTGCAGCAGGGAACGGCACAACCAGTCACACTGTCTATATGTGTTTGGTGAGGTACACTGTAAAAAAAATCCATAATTTTTTTGTTTTATTTGCGGCAGCTGGGGTGTCGGAAAACAATGTAAAATAATGTTCATTAAATTAAAGAAATTTACTTTAAAATAACTAACATTAAATTACTGAGTTTACCAGAAATTTTAATTTAAGGAAATAAACAGTAAAATTACAGATTTTTCTTTTTTTTACAGTGTAGGACTTGAGGAGAGAACATGATTTATCTTTTCTGTTTAGGTTAACGAAAGTTAACAATGTGTTTTTTTGGAGGCGATTAAAATTATTGGTGGGAACAATTCGATGATCAGTGTAAGGCTGCACAATATATAGTTTCAGCATTGATATCGCAATGTGTGCATCTGCAATAGTCACATCACAAAGATATGCAATGTTAAGTCTGGATTATATTTGACCAGGAACTACATAATTGTATTTAATTATGTTTTTATACAGAATTGATTTGATTTATGCAACAAAAAAGGTTTTTTGTTTTTGTCTCTAGTCCAAATATCTACATTTCAAAGTAAAAACAAGATTATTTAAAGGTGCTGTATGTCAGTTTTTGACACTTCTAAAGTATAAGACACCATGTTTGCAGATATTTAAGAAACATTATTTATCTGAAAAACAATACTGAAGTCAGATGTTCTGCTTTGAAAATGTGCATTATGTGCCAGAATGCCTGTATTTGGTTTGTTTGTTTTTTAACCCGCCCAATGCCACTTTAGCCTGTTATATTTCAGCACCCTGGGTTGCCGTGTTGGAAACCCAGTATTTCATTCTTTCAGTCAGAAAGGCTCTCAAAGCATGTGTCCGTGACTGAAATGTGACCTCCAGTGGACAGTACCAGACTCTGAAATGTGACGCAGATTCAGAGTTCCACATGAGGTTATTAATTAGCAAATAATATAAATATTATGAGGAAAAACATTAGGTGAGCAGGTTACATTGTTACCCCGTGTCCTAACAACACACTACGTGATGAGATTTGCAGTGATAAGCAATTTGGCTGTTTGCAACACGACAGAAATTAAAATACAAGCATCCAGAAGCACGGAGTAGTGCACTCACTGCACTCCAACATAATGGTAAGGTTTATAACTATATTAGTACATATTTAACATACTTTAACATTATTAAATGTACATTCTGAATCACTGATATGTATTGGCTTGCATTATTTCACACTTCTGTTTAACTTACTCCACTGGCAGATAATTTTGCTAGTTTTAAAGAAAAACTCTTCATTTTGCCTTATTTCATCTGATTTTTTAAAACAATATTTTTACGTGATCTAAGATTTTTTTTTTCTTTTTTAGATATTAAGACTAGAAATGAGACAAAGAAAAACATTGTTTTGCATTGTGATAATTCAATTTCTGAACCTGAAAAATTTAAAAACCGTCATTCATTCATTTTCTTTTTGGCTTGGTCCCTTTATTAATCTAGGGTCGCCATTACGCAGCATATGCCCTTCCTGCCACAACCCATCTCTGGAAAACATCCACACACACTCATTCACACTCACACACACACACACACACACACACACACTCATACACCATACACTCATACAATGTATCGGATGTTTTTGGACTGTAGGGGAAACGGGAGCACCAGGAGGAAACCCACGCGAACGCAGGGAGAACATGCAAACTCCACACAGAACAGCCAATTGAGCCCAGCCGAGGTTCGAACCAGCGACCTTCTTGCTGTGAGGCGACAGTACTATCTACTGCGCCACTGTGTCGCCTAAAAAACGTTAAACAGAGCTATTCAAGTATCTTGTGAAACTGTATCATATCGAAAAAATAAATAAATAAAATAGGTGACCAGCCCACATTTAAAAAATGGTCCGGCCCTTCATTTGCCAGAATTGCCAGATAGCCAGTCCGCCCCTGAGGTTATCTATATCAAAGAACTGCAAATAAGCAGATCTGTAACAATTTACTGATGAACACACACCTAATTTTCTCTCTGTCCATGGCTGTGGTTTGCTGATCAAATAAAAAACAAAAGACGGGGAGGAGCCGAGTTCTGCCACCGTTCATATCGAATTTAAAGTGATAATTTAGTGTACAGTTTATGAACTAATCGCAAAAGTTTTAGGGGGGCTGAGTAGTAATGTATACAGCCCTCCTAAAATAGGCCTAGCAACGCCCATGGCCTTGAGTAACAGACCCTTATAAAGTTGGGAGAAAATCAAATGTCTTTGGAAAAATTAGTTTAGGCAAGGTGTTTCAAAAGCTAAAATTTTAGAATTTAAGAATATTTCCTAAATTCACAGAAACATTGTATTGTATGTCCTAAATCTTTTTAAACGGGTCTTAATTTCCTATGTCCAAGTAGAGCGACCCTATCTGGCTGACACTCGATAACTTTTTTATACAGTATATATTTATATATACAGTATATATAAGTTTTTATTGTGAAGAGATACAAATCAACACAGTTAATCAAGGAAAACTAAAGTAACACATCTCTTTACATAATCTTCCATTAATACAAACTATACAAAAGTAACGGGGCCATATAAAAAAAATCCTTAGCGAGTGGCCCTGTGTACGTCTAAAATTTCGTTCATATTGGTCTTAAAAGGGTTTTAAAAGTCTTAAATGTGACTTGATGAAACCTGCAGAAACCCTAAGGCAGTGGTCACCAAACTTGTTCCAGGAGGGCCGGTGTCCCGCAGATTTGAGCTCCAACCCTAATCAAACACACCTGAACAAGCTAATCAAGGTCTTACTTCCAGGCAGGTGTGTTGAGGGAAGTTGGAGCTAAACCCTGAAGGGACACAGGCCCTCCAGGACTGAGATTGGTGTTTCGTCTTCTTCCAAATGCAACATTAACGTGTAATTCTGAATAATTGTTTACCTTTTTGGTGATTTTTTAAACCACGAATTAGTCGCAGATTAATTAAATTCTCCGGCGAGGTTCACATTGATCAAAACACAAACAGTTCACGAGGGTCCTGTATCGTGCTGTAATGCTGCTTCCGTTCACTAGGTGGAAGCATCGTCTCACATTATCTCCATTTAGACTGTAGAAAGATATTTGTTTACATGATGTTAAAGTTATAACATTTTTAAATATATACTGACTGTTCAGTATGGCATGTGAAGATTACATTTTAACATCAATAATTGCATAGACCATAATAGTTTGAAAATCCCTTTAGAAAACCACAACTTTACTTGGCTTGACTGCCATATTTTGCTCCTAGTTTTCACTTGAAGATGATGTGATTTCCTGCCATATAGTGAGCGTCTACGTTCTGGTGCAGATCTGTATAACAGGAGGATTTGTTGAAGCTGTTGTACTCGCTGCGTGATATCAATCAATATGCTAACATAATCACGCAGCGCCGCTGACGTCACGCGCGCTACACCGCATCTGAAGTCCAGTTCAAAGCGCTCGTGCTCTGCGGGCTGGCGGTGCGCGTGGACTGAATGAAAGTAGCAGATTGAGCGCAACTTCACGAACGCGTCTCAGGTAAGCGGATTTAATGCCCTTCACGCGTGAGTGTGTGTGTTTATAGAGGCCTGTCTGTGAGTGTGTTTAACGGGAAGTCCTCCATCTGTGGTGCTGCTGGTGCTCTTTACACGCGTGCCTTCAGATGCGGTGCTGTGATGATGATGATGATGATGATGGGTTTGTGATGTTGTGTGATGTAATAGATGTGATTTTATTCCTCACTTATGAGCTCTCCACTGAAGTTGTGATTATATTAGAGTAAAAAAAAAAGATATTCGAGTAACTGTCATGGTTAAACAGGGGTGTGTTTAATCATAGAAATAATAATGTGTTTAATGCAGCAGAGGAATGTTGGCCAGATGAAAAAGACATACACTTTAAATGTTAAACACTGTTTAAGTGTGTTTAATATAATATAAATTAATAATGAATTAGTTACATTATTTATATATATATATATATATATATATATATATATATATATATATATATGTATATATATATATATATATATATATATATATATATATATTAGGGCTGCACAATGTCCGCGGGGTCTTAAAAAGTATTAAAAGTTCATAAATCAATGTTGAGAAATGTAAGCCCCTTAAAAAGTATTTAAAAATTCTTAAATGCTATTTTGTAAGGTATTTAATTTAATATAATTTTTGATTATGCTGTGTATTACTGTATGCTAAAGGTGGCCTGAATTAAATCTGCGAATATCAGCATGCTGTGTAGTTTACGAAATCAATGAAATTCTCCTAGATTTGACATCATGCTGCTTTGTTTACTGCAGTAACCAAGGCAACACCATTATTTCTGCAGTTCTATAGGCGTCAACCTGCTGAATTAGCTACACTTTAATAGATTTTCATTCAGTAGTATAATAATAATAATGTTTTAGTTTTGGATTAGTTTCTTGCATAAATATTTAGTAAATAATCTGTAAGGTAAAATCTCACCAGTGTTTAATAGATTTTGTGTTTGATAGATGGATGGATAGATAGATTGACATGGATGGATGGATGGATGGATGGATGGATGGATGGATAGATGGATGGATGGATATATGGATATATGATAGCTAAACAAATGGATGGATGGATGGATAGATATATGATAGATAAACAGATAGATGGATGAATAGATTTATAATAAATAAACAGATAGATAGATAGATAGATAGATAGATAGATAGATAGATAGATAGATAGATAGATAGATAGATAGATAGATAGATGGGTGGATAGATAGATGGGTGGATAGATGGATGGATGGATGGATGGATGGATATATGATAGATAAACAGATAGATGGATGGATGGATTTATAATAAATAAACAGATAGATAGATAGATAGATAGATAGATAGATAGATAGATAGATAGATAGATAGATAGATAGATAGATGGGTGGATAGATGGATGGATGGATGGATATATGATAGATAAACAGATGGATGGATGGATGGATGGATTTATAATAAATAAACAGAAAGAAAGATAGATAGATAGATAGATAGATAGATAGATAGATAGATAGATAGATAGATAGATAGATAGATAGATAGATGGTGGATAGATGGATGGATGGATGGATATATGATAGATAAACAGATGGATGGATGGATGGATTTATAATAAATAAACAGAAAGATAGATAGATAGATAGATAGATAGATAGATAGATAGATAGATAGATAGATAGATAGATAGATAGATAGATAGATAGATAGATAGATAGATAGATAGATAGATAGATAGATGGGTGGATAGATGGATGGATGGATGGATATATGATAGATAAACAGATGGATGGATGGATGGATGGATTTATAATAAATAAACAGAAAGATAGATAGATAGATAGATAGATAGATAGATAGATAGATAGATAGATAGATAGATAGATAGATAGATAGATAGATGGATGGATGGATGGATGGATGGATGGATATATGATAGATAAACAGATGGATGGATGGATGGATGGATATATGGTAGATAAACAGATGGATGGATGGATTTATGATAAATAAACAGAAAGATGGATGGATGGGTATATAGATAGATGGGTGGAAAGAATGATGGATAGATGGATGGATGGATATATAATAGATAAACAGAGAAATGGATGGATGTATAGGCATGTACGGTAGGTAGGTATATAGATAGATGGATGGATGGATGGATGGATGGGTGGATAAATATGTACAGTAGGTAGGTAGATGGATAGATAGGTAGGTGGATGGATGGGTGGCTAGATGTATATGTACAGTAGATAGATAGATAGATAGATAGATAGATAGATAGATAGATAGATAGATAGATAGATAGATAGATAGATAGATAGATAGATAGATAGATAGATAGATGGATTTATAATAAATAAACAGCAAGATGCATGTATGGATAGATATATGATAGACAGATGGATAGATGGATGGATGGACATATGATAGATAAACAGATAGATGGATGAATGGATGGATAGATAGATGGATAGGTAGGTACGGTAGGTAGATGGATGGATAGATGAATGGGTTGATGAATGGGTGGATGGATAGATATATAATAGATAGATGGATGGATAGATAGATACATGATGGATGGATGGATGGATAGATATATGATGGATGGATGGATGGATGGATGGATAAATGATAGATGGATGAATATATATGATAGATGAATGGATGGATGGATAGATAAGTAGATGAATGAATAGATGATAGATAGATATGTGAAAGATGGATGGATGGATAGATATATGATAGATGGATGTATAGAAAAAGATTAATTGAAAACTTTTACACAGTGTCTGATCGGCTGTTTTGTCATCTGGCTCTGTTCTGCAGGCCGCCTCTATTGTTGCAGTGTGCTGACGTCTGTTCAACACACAGAGGATCATGTATTGAAGTGTTCAGCCTTGCATTTTAGGTAACTGTTGCTTCCAACTGTTGCTTTTAGTGATCCTGACTCCCAATTCATTCTCATTAAGTCAAGCTTGTACTTGAGATGTAAAATATGAAGATGAATCTGTCTGCAGGGCAAGGTGTGCATGTGTAACGAAAGAGCAATAAAGCCACTGATGAGCTTTTAATATTTAACGTCTGAACTTGCTTTCTGTTCATATTCAGGACACTCTGTGAAGACAGTAATATGTGATGTAAAATGGATGTCTGTAATACTCACAAATTACAGAGCAAACAGTTGATTATGATGGTTATTGTTTAGTCAGGGTTATTGCTAGATACAAAGCTGTACTAGGCCACAGGACCCCCATTTCTCTTATCTCCCTTCTGTCTTTCCTCTGTTTTGAGTGAGCTCTTGGTATTTCTAACTGACGTTTTCCTAATGATCAGTTGAACACGGGCATGGTTAGGCCTGTCACAATAATCAATATATTGACTTAACGCACAACACATGGACATGACCTCAATTATTTTTGGTGATGCAGTATAGAAAGCCCATACACAAAAAACAATTCTAGCAACATTTTAGCTGATTGTGCAACCTCTTAATCTCTATTGGAGGTGTCTGTGTTTGTCATAGTATTTACTATAAAATACTATAGTATATTTTCATGTCTGTGGCCAACACTGAAAATAGATCTGCTAGCAGATATCCCAGAATCTTTTACTTTTTACCTTGCACTTTTTTTGTTTACATTTATTATCATTAATTTAGGATATGCTTTTTCCTATTCTGGTTCCAACGCCTGATTATTAAATAGTTAAAATGACTATAATTAAACTAAATAATCTGAAGAATAAAATATGATGTGTTTTTTTGGTAGAGTGTACTCAAGCTCCCCCTTGCTGGAGCTCAGCTCTGCCCAAGCGGCTTTGCAGTGAGAACCACTTGCGTATTTTCAGTCTTTCTCTGACGGGTGGCAAATAAACATTAAAGAGCCAATCCTCCCTATACACAACCCATACCGCCGAACCACCAGGGGCCGCCCCTTGCTCTTAGACATGAGCCTGTATTGTGCTTTTGCCTTGTTTAGGCATGAGCACACTTTAAAATAAAAATAAAAACGTCAGGATTCCCTTTCCTTTTCAATACAGGTGCCGTCGCTCCTTCATATGCAATCCCCAAAACAGTCATATTGACCTTATTCTAAAATGCGGAAGTGCGCCTGTTTTCGCGATTGTCTTAGAACTTCCGATTCAGTCGCCTATGGGAGAAATGACTAGGAATAACAAATGGCAGAAAACGGTCAAACTACTTGCTCTACAAACAAATGTTTGCATGACTACACAGACCAAGTAGAATAATATAATAAAAAAATATCAAATTGCATCATCAAGCAACGTAATAAGCCGTTTTTAACGTCAAAAAATGAATGGAAGTGAATGAGCAGCACCCACTCGTCGGCGGAGAATAAGGTGAATAGCGATGTGTGACTTGCCAGCTGACACGCTCCATATTGATAAATAGACGCTGTTTCCCAAACGGTCCCTTATTATGGTGGGCATATCCCTTATTTTCACATCACAATGTTGACAGGTATGCAAATGTCATTTGCTCTCTATTTATACAAAAACAGCAGTGCAAGACACTTTTGGTTTTAACAAACAGAACTTAAAACCTGTAATTTTATTAAAAATAAAATGAAGAAATAATCAGCTTATTAAAAAGAATTAAGAACTATTTAGTGGCATATTTTTTGATGGCTGGTTGTCGACACCTATTGGTTAAACAATGTAAGTGCTGCCTACAACTTAAATTAATCTTTACCATAAACATCAGTGGTTATATCTAATCGATAAACTTTTATCCCAGTATTACAGTGTGTTATTTGACTATAACTTCATAACTAACTCAGAAGCCTAAAGATTTTTGCGTTTACAGATTTGAATGCTTCTGTTTCTGTCTTTCGGATGAGACATCAAACCGAGGTCCTGACTCTCTGTGGTCATTAAAAATCCCATGGCACTTCTCGTGAAAGAGCAGGGGTGTAACCCCGGTGTCCTGGCCAAAGTCGGCCCATACAATCATGGCCTCCCAATCATCCCCTTCCACCGAATTGGCTCGATCACTGTCTCTCCACTCCACCAATAGCTGGTGTGTGGTGAGCGCATTGGCGCCGTTGTCCTGTGGCAGCCGTCACATCATCCATGTGGATGCTGCACACTGGTGGTGGTGTGGAGAGACCCCCCTCATGATTGTGAAGCGCTTTGGGTGTATGGCCATACACAATAAATGCGCTATATAAATACACATAAATAAAATACACATTACATTACAGCGATTCAAAGGATTTATAAACATATCAAATCACCATCATTTAAAATTTCTGTTGCATAGTTGTTGAGATCCCGATCTTTTAATGGTTAATCGTGCAGCTTACACTGAATGTATCAATGCCGGCTAAACAAGTAGTGCCAAAAAAACTACTTTAATAACCTAAGAAACCCACCACATGCTGAATAACCCAACACAAATCTTTCCATCATTAATTATATTTTACAGGAAAGCCTAAATGCTTTCAGACTTGTCATTTGAATGACGTGAAAGGCGATTCCTCTGCAATCGATACAAATTTAGTAAAGTAAATAAAAGTATTAATTCACGAGTCACGCTTGTGTTCGAACCGTAGGTTGTGATCCATACGAATCACAGATCAATTGTGATTCATTACACTCCTAGTAAAAGCCATAGTTAATGGTTTTAATTGCAAGAAGTTGAACATTAAAAAACGTCAACTAATTTCATTTAATTTTCCTGTCGGCTTAGTCTCTTTATTAATCCGGGGTCGCCACAGCTGAACGCCAACTTATCCAGCAAGTTTTTACACAATGACCTTCATACATACAGTAAGTAATAAAAATAACTTCTGTAAGTTGCTCATGTTTTATCTTAAAAATAAGTATGTGATTTCTTAAGCCACGTCTAACCTTTTTCTCTACTATTTTCCGGCTCTATGGGTGCGTCCACTTGTCTCTCTCTTCAAGCATTTTTCATAAGGAGTGCATGAATATTGCAGATGATCAGGGCTGGGTGAACTTCCTTCTGTTTTTCAGTTTTCAGATCCTGAAAAAAACCCTCCATTTGGCTGAAAATGCTTTCTGAGGTCATGCTCGCATATCCCGCTCATGTAAAGATAAACACAAATCGAAACCGTAATTTTATCTTCTCTTTCCCTGACAAGCTCTGCAGTCCAGTCCCGTTTCTGCATCAATGTGTGTGCGCTTGTTTGCCTGTGTGTGTGTGTGTGTGTGTGTGTGTGTATGTGTCAGCGCTCGAGTCAGTCTGAAAGCATTTGGAAAGCACCAGTCTTTTATTTGAACCTGTCCAGCGGACAAGCATGACTTCATCATTACCTCACAGCTCTCCATTAACGCTTATCAGAAACATATGAGCTCCACATGCTGACTGCGTTCATGGAAACTTTTCATTTTGTTTGGAGTGTCGGTGGTGCTGTTTTTATTGTGCAACTTACTCTCGCTTTCTTTTGACTTGCCGCTGAATATGTGGTTAATTTCAGGTTGTTTTATGCTGGTTTTCGTTTTCACCGTTTGTATTCTGTATATGGTGCAGTGAGTGAAAAGATGCCGCTGTGTGGCTTTGTGCTGCCGCATTGGTTTTTATAAGGGGAACTGGCAAACTACAGATTTTGAGAATTGGCTGGTTATGGTTTTGACATTAATGAGTGGTGCACTAATCTGAGCTTTGTATAGAGAAGCTGGTTGAAAAATGAGAAATCGGTGTGTTTTTGTCAAATTGTAATTCTGTGTTCACACCTAATGGGAAAATCAATATTGTGAGTAGATTACGTAAAGGTTGTATGTGTGAACAGGTCCTTTTTGAAAATACCGATAAATTAGTTCTGGCTATTTTCCGGAAAGAGAAGTTGTAACATTACCGGCAATTTGCCGGAATGCTGCGCTGTGTGAATGCAGAAGGAAGATTCCCGTAATAAGCGCGTGCACGTCTAGAACGTGCTGACGTGAGACGTCTGCTTTAGCCAATCACAACAGTCAGACGCATTTACGTCCGCGCAGTTTGTGAGAATAAAAGCCTTTGAATATTTTTCCAGACACATTTAGCTGCTAGAAGTTAGTCAGATCACGTTTATATGTTCTTCTTAATGCCAACTGTGTAAATAATCATCGATGAGATGCTTATGATAAGCCGTTGTTTGTTTACCTTGAAGCTTTGCGTGCGCCTATGAGCGCCTGCACACGCATGAACATCTCGACATGCGAAAGTGATCCTGTGAAAGTTGTTCACAATATTGATTATCCACAGAGTTTGTAATTTAGTCAAATGTTTACAAATACAAGCGCAGCCGTTTAAAGCTCATTTGTGGTGAATGATGTCAGAATTTACCGGTATTTTGGAATGGATGTGTGAATGCTCTTTTCCAGAAAATTTCCGAAACGTCCTCGCCTGTGTGAACACCGCTTTTTTGAATATACCGGTAAAGTCGTTCCGGAAATTTTCCAGAAATTTACCGGTATCACTGTGTGAAAGGGGCTAATGTCCACCTGTAATTGTAAAATTGGTCAAATTTAATGTAGGCCTGTCATGATATCTAATTTTTTGTTGTACGTTATATTGCACTAAAACATATTGCGATAAACGTTACTATTGTCGTTTTAATTTTATGCCACTCATAATGCCAGATAATATCATCACAATGCAAGTACATTCTTCTGCTGTGTTCACACCAGACGTGGATGAAGCATCAAACGAGAGTGATTTACATAAGTCAATGCAAAAACGCGAATAGACATCCTGAGGTGCGATTTGCGTGGATGAGACGGTGCGAATTGAGCATTTGATGTGCTTAACGCACGAGTCGCTCGAGTTGGAAAATCTGAACTTCAGTAGACATTCACGCTGCATTAACCAATCATGAGCTTGCTCTTATAGGGGAGTGATGTCGTAGCACTTGTTATTGGTGTCCTGATGGGAAATCCTTTTGCCGA